AGCAGCAGTCTTCTTCTCTTCTCCTCCCTCCCCCTGTGAGGGTGGAAGTGCGCCATGAGAAACCCAGGAATGAAAGAGTGAGTTTGTTCGCTCGAGCAAAGATGTACTCTGGTGCGACTGCCACTGTTGTGAATAGAGAGTCAGAAGTCTTAAATACGAGAAAGTTTTTGAAATAATTAGATTTTGACGTGGAGAAAACAATAACTGCCACCACAACAAAAAATGGATTCTTTTGAGATAAATTGGAGTTCTTTCAGTTTCCATGCATGTGCTCATTAGGGAGGGGCATTGAGGATGGTCTTTGGGTGCGGAGGGATTTTGGCATCACCGGAGTCAATTTTTTGTGTTCCATTTATATTTTCACGATGCCGTAGAATGGAAGGGAGGGGTGGAGAAGAGAAAGAAGAGAGAGGTGGTCGCTTGGCAATGGATCGTTTTATTGTTGGATCCCCAATTGGTGAGGGCCGCTTTGGCGTCGTTCGTGCTGCAGTTGTTAAGGAATCTGGAGCGCCAGCCGCAATCAAATTCGTCACAACTCCACGTCTCGATGAGGGTATTCCGCACCCCACAGCGAGGGAACCACTCGTTGCATTGCGATTGGTGCATCCTTTTTTTATTCGGACATATGAGGTGGTTCCGTGTGGCTGCTCCTTGGCGTTAGTGATGGAGCGTTGCAAGACTGACTTGGCAACAGTCCTCTCGGGGAGAACTGCCAGCAATCCTCTGCCCGCGTTAGAGGCAAAGTCTTTATTTAAGATGCTTCTTTTGGCGTTAGCGTACGTACACAGCGAGGGTGTTCTTCATCGAGATGTGAAACCTTCAAATTGTTTCTTGACTGCGGAGGGGGAACTACGCCTCGGCGACCTTGGACTAAGTCGTGCATGGGATACGGAAGCATCCATGACTCACGAAGTCGTTTCGAGGTGGTACCGTGCTCCCGAGTTACTTCTGGGCCAGCGACACTACGGACCCGAAATTGATGTGTGGTCATCAGGGTGCGTATTTGCGGAACTTCTACGGGGGTACGGTGGTGCTTTTTTTGCAGGCGATGGAGATATTTGGCAGTCGTCACGAATATTTGATGTATTAGGGACACCGACGCCCACATCGTGGCCATCGGCGGTGCTGCTTCCCGATTGGGGAAAGGTGCACTTTGAGCCGAAGCGTCCTCTTCCTCTCCGTGAATTTTTCCCGGATGCCTCTGAATGTGCATTGGATTTGTTGCGAAGATTACTTTGCCTGGATCCTCAGAAGCGTTTGACTGCGGCTGGCGCCCTTCGTCACGCCTACTTTAGTGAATACCCGACGTGAAGGTCCATGGATAAAGGGACGCTGGGGCTACGTGTGGTGTGCGGGGATGAAAATTGGAATTGCTCATATAAATGCGTGCTTATTTTCCTTGACAATCCTTTTCGGTTGTTGTTGTTATTTTACTGGGTTATTATTATTATTTTGATTATTGTTTAAATTTATTTTTATTTTTTAATTATATTTTGTATTTGTTCTTGTGGATTTTTAACTGTGAATCCCAATTTTTATCCAAAGTAAAAGAAAACTAACGCGTGTGCGAGAGAGAGAAGGAGGGTGACGAGCACATATCTAACACAATAATGTATCGTTGCCTTCATCATTTCTCCACGTTGCCACTGGCGTTTGTACGACGGACTGCTACAAACAGTTACGTCAATCGCCATATTGCACCATCAGCGGCAGAACCAATTTCTATGCTTCGAATAATTGGCAAGGAAAGTCTGTCGGACCTCATGACTGCTGTGATCCCAGAGAATATTTTGCGAAGTCCTTTAAAAGGGGTTCCGGCGATGAGCGAGCAGGATGCCCTTTCGCTTCTCCATTCACCGGGTTCACGCAATAAGGTATTAAAGAGCATGATTGGGCAAGGATACTATGGGCCAGGGCACACCACCTGTAATACTTCGTAACGTTATCGAGAATCCTTCATGGTGCACCCCATACATTCCTTTCCAGGCTGAAATATCTCAAGGCCGTCTAGAGTCCCTGTTGAATATTCAGTCCATGATTATAGACTTGACAGCTGTGAATGTGGCAAATGCACCTCTTCTGGATCAAGCTACTGCATGTGCTGAGGCAATGTACCTTGCCTTTCATCATGGTCGAAAGGAGCGTATGACCTTTTTTGTATCGAGGGATGTCTTGCCATCTTGCGTAGAGATGGTAAAAACAAAGGCTGAGCCCCTTAAAATAAAGGTCGTTGTTGGTGATCCAAATTTGATTGATTGGAGCGATTCCTCACTTTGTGGAATTTTGGTACAAACTCCAGATGCCATGGGGATGCTTCATGATTTTACGACACTGTTTGAGAAGGCAAAACAACATGGTGTCGTCAGTTGTTGTGGGACAGATTTGATGGCTTCTGGTCTTCTCAAACCTCCGGGAGAAATGGGAGCCGATGTTGTTTTGGGATCTGCCCAACGCTTTGGTGCCCCACTAGGGTTTGGGAGGGCCTCGCGCCGCATTTTTT